GCATTGAAGTTCGATATGCCAAGGCTACGCACTCGACCACTAGCAACGAGCTTTTCCATGGCAACCCACGTATCGACATAATCGACATTAGCCGTCAAAAGTTTGCCTAAGAAGAAACAAAGACAATTTATTTTGCAAAGAATTCGGAACATTCTATTAAATTGAATAGCCAAAAAATCTTTCGTTTTACCATTTTCATCCTGTGGAGTGAGCTGATACGAATCGACATCGTTGGGATCGAGAGAAGGTTCTTTCAAAATGCGTTGCCAAGCATTTGGGAAATGCATCAAATACAAGTCAATGTATTCTAAATCCAAATTTTCTAGCGACTTATTGAATGCTATTTCGACTTGGTCGGGTTCGTGGAATGTGTTCCACAACTAAAAAAATGTAAAACTGTCATTTGAATTGTATCACCGATTTGTAGTCTACTGAATATTCACTTTGGTGGTAACAAAAATATCTTCCCGTTTGATCACTCCTTCTGCGATTTTTTCCCGAATCGCTTTTCCCACTTCAACTTCGTTTTGATAAATATAGGCGGTGTCAATGTGGCGATAGTCAACATCGATCGCGTCTTTTACTGCTTGCTCAACTTCATTACCTTTTGACTAAATATGAAAAAACAAATATATGAATCTTCTCAAGAAAATGAAAGAAATATATTGAAACGTTTTTTCGAGCCAAGAGCCAACATACGAGATAGGTTCCATCACCGACGATCGGAATTTTATAACCATTATTCAATAGCACGGTTGGAGCAAGTTTCGATTCCGTTGTTTCAAATACGGCTAAAGCCTTTGAAAAGCGAGGAAAAAGCACATAAATTTGATTTAAAACCCATTTTGACGTTGTCCAACTTGTGTGTTCACATTTGTAACAAGGGAACTATAAAATTTTTACCGCGAATATCCACACGGAATATTCTAATAACATTGTTTTGAATTTTCGACTGAAAACACCTAACTTTCTTGATACCCGTATTCTTTGAAACTACCTTATGGTCGTCGAAACGAAGTCTTTTTATATGATCGACAAGAATCACTTATCTGTTAAACTCTTGCAAGAGTTGACATTCAATCAAATGTACTGAAAAAAATAATAGTGGCTTTATCTTCCTGATGACTGTCAACAAATCAATCAATCTTCAGACAAAGTCATTTTATCGCTCTTGATTTTAATGAACAATATTCAGAGTTTTGGATTACAATTATTGTTAGTTTTGATTTTAGAAATGTAGCACTTGGACTGAGTCAAGGTGACGTCGCCCAATGATGTTTGCATTTATATAACATGTATGTGTATAATATCAAAACTGATACGTAAAGTGATTGAGACGGAAAAAATTGATTAATTACAGAAAGGCCCATGTCGTGAATGTAGTAGTGTGTACGTAGTATTGTGTTTGCAGCCAATTTTAGGAAATTTGTCTCCCGAAAACATGGTTTCTATTCTCGTTCGAGGTCGTAGAACGTAGATTACGAAGAAAAGGATTTCAGAGCGATGTTGTGTCTAGCATTTATTTTTTCGATGGCCTGTCTAGAATTTTACGTCATAATTAGTGCTGAAAAGTTGGGCAAGACCTTTTAATTTAATTTAAAATGAATTTTTTCGAGCTTTTGACAGAAACAAAATACCTAAACAACTGGAAGAATTGTAGAAAAAATATAAATAATTTTTAAGCGTTATTTAATTAACAGTTTCTGTCACCAATAAATATTGTACGTGAACATTTTTGAATATATCTTAAAAGCTGAATATATCTCTAAAAAATTGAAAAGCAAAAAACGAAATTTGTAAATCAAATTTTCTTGTGCGACCCGAGTGAACCAAAGAAACGGTTCATAAGGCATCTAGGATTTGCGTATACTTTTGCAGCGAACGAATATTGTTTTTTTTTTGCTGTGAACATTTGCGAAAGACAGGATGAAGAGAAAAACAACCATTCACTCCTATGAATGTATACACAAGGTATATGCAAAGGTGTAGATACCTCACGAACCGTTTCTACGTTTTACTCGGGGGCTCATCCAATCATCGGGAAAATTTGCATTCATTGTGATATCTAATATTCAAAACAAATCAATTTACTATCTGATCCATGATATAATCAGAGTGTAAATAGGTTTATGTGAAGACTAATGTTTTTCTCTAATTAAATTAAGCAAAAATCCAATTTAAAATTAAATGCTGAGAATCTCACAGCCTGTGAAATGGTTTTGCAATCTGACTATAATCAGTTTAGCTCCGATCAATCGCTCTGAACATTATGTAGTACGTACTGCGATAAAAGCCTATATGAACAATGTTATTATATTTGACAATATTTGACTCGATGTCAATGACGATGTGGCAGCGCCACCTATAGAGATTCCTTATTAAAATAAGTGGAACTATTGAGTGCGTGCATCATATCGCACGTAAATTTCCAATATGGCAGCGCCCATAGAATTGAAAAGTTAACCAATTTCGTAGTCACAAATTATCGCTGTACGATGTAGTAAGATGAAGATGCTTTGCAGAGCTAAAAGTAAACAAGATTATTTGTATTTTATTCATTATGAACATCACCTCTAGAATGTGGACTTTGTAAACGCACTACAGCCATAACTTTTGTGCTTTTTATATTCATTGTCATGGTCACTAGCCATGGTTTGTGCAACACAAAAGAAATTAATTTGATATTCTTACTTTCTCAAACATTTCCAAGGTACAATGAATAAACTTGAATCCAGTAAAATAGACCGGTTTTTTGGAACGGGCAGTGATCAAAACAATGTATTTTTGCAGCTCCGGAGGATAAAGATACCAATTTGAACTATAAATCTCAATGCCCAGAATTCGATCGCTTACGTTGTAAAATAACAATACAGCGATGGCCACATTAGCGAAGTTATTATGCAAACCATGTGAAAACCACATATATGAATAATTCAAATTCAAACTACTATATAGATTTAAAAGTAAATTTTTAAAAAATGGACAAATATCGATAGGAATGAAAAAAATGGGAAGGAAAATTTCAACCAAAAATGGATGCATTTTTTAGTATTTGTTCATGTCAACATTTTCAATATGTGACATTTGCAGGAGCCCATGTCTCTTCCGTGGCTTTCAGTTGTAATAAGGCGTGTATATTTGAACAATTGCTTGGATTTGATGCATTTTCAGGCATTGTAATGCGGATGTCCACTGAAAAAGGGCTGAAATCAATGTTATGGACAGTCCCGTGTGGAAAACAAATGACTGACTTCTACTGAAATCAAATATTAGGTAACTTTAGTTAACCGAGCAGATGATTTGTATGAAAAATTGTCGACTACGTATCAATTTTAGCCAGTCGTTCAAATTTCGGGACGTTTTTGACTTGTGATTGCAGTTAACTGTGATCATTGTTTTCGTACTGGATAATCACTTTTAGCTAGTCGACTATATCCCAAAATAATCGATTGGTTTCTCACTGCTCAGTTAAAATATTTCCATGCGGGAGTGATGGTGACACAACCTTTCAAACGGATGCATTATTCCATGACTTTCTACATTTTTTCAGCAGGTTATAAATACACTTTTGACTTTGAATTCGTTCTAGAATCCTTTCGAATTGGCCTTCTACAGCGATATTTGATTGGATCAATATATCGATCGTGTTTATGAACAATTTTTTTAAACTTACAGCTGCGATTTCTTCTCGAATACTCAGGAAACGATATTTTTCTATGATTTGTGACGAAATATGAGACGACCAGAGTGAAAAATGCTGGAACATTGACTTAGAAACTATGAAAGAAGCAATATCTTACCATTTAATTCTTTGTTTTCTAAGCTCATCAATATCAAGTAGTGGGTTCAACATAGTTGGTCGTCAAACACCTTCAAACGCTTGTTCGACATGGTTTTAAATTGTTTTTTTTTTGTTCGTTTGTTTCATGCATTATTTTAATGGGCAGCTTTTGCCCATTTGGGCAGTTCTAAATCCCAAATGGGCAGCTCAAAACTCAAAAATGGGCAGTGTTTTACTTAAATTTTCTTGAAAATGGGCAGCTCTAAAAATTTCTTAAAATAATGCATGGTTTGTTTAGTCCAAACAACATTGAATTTTGTACGAAAAAAAAAACTTCGTTCGGACTGACAATTTCGTACAAACGAAAGTTCGAAGCCAAGTTCAGTATAAAGCCTGTAAACTTACTATAAAGGTGTCAACGAACAAAATTTCGAACATTTTCTCTCTCCGAATTTTGAAGTTGTTTTGAGAAAGTTTCGAGCAGTTTCAAAATTTCATCTGAAAAACAGATCACACTCTTGTGCCATCCTCCACTTGTAGTATTTTTATATTGAAAGGCGATGCAAGCACATTCACAATACAAAGTACTAACACGAGTGGAGAGTCTCCACTGGAGACGCCTTATAAAAAATGGCACGGATTTTAAGTGGAACGGTAAATTTGTGGTTTGAAATTTCAAATTTTGTTCGAAATTTGGTTCGTCGGCACCACTTCAGTACTTCTTTTTTGCCATTCAATACCTAATAACCTAAAGTTAAACAGTTACAAAAATGAAATCACTTTTCATCTACATTATGAAGAATGCTTTATTTATGATATGTGCGTACACTACATTCTTGCATAAATTTCGATTTTGCCGTTTAGATTCAAGAGTAGACAGAATTAGTTTTATTATTGTTCTTGTGTCAATCTACCTTGAAGAAACGTCAGTCCAACAATAAGATTACATTTAACAGATTTCTATCGATTAATATATAATATTAAATATTTGAATGCGATTCAATTAAAAGACAGTTAAAAATGAATTGTACAATGCTAAAAATGTATGAGATCAATTTGTTCGCCTCAAATGGACAAAATCGATAATTAATAAAAATACTCTTCTTTACACAAACCAATTGCTTGTGCGTTGGAAAGTATTTGTCACTGTTTGCAAAATGCTACATGCCCATGGATATTTACTGTTTAAAAGCTCGTGTTTGTTTGAATGAGATAGACGTATTTTACATTGAATTATATAAAGTACACGGTATTTGTATCGTATAATATGCTTGGTTTTGTATTTAATTAGCTCGATGTTTGTTTAGACTCTATTTGGGATTGTTGCTTGTCTTTATTTGCATATAATGTCTCGATTTCTATTCAAGCAATTAGTAACATCAATCAATTTCGAAACGGCGGTTTGTGTATTTGATGCAAATATCATCGTGATAACTGGGCTGTTCTAGTGTAAATAGTCCATATGTGGTGCTGGTATATTTGTTTGTAGAGTGACGGTGGTGCCGCGATTTAGACTGACGGCTGGATAAAATACACCGTATAAATCACGGAATGCAATCGATCCTTGTGGCATTTCGTTAACGAGAAAACTCAAGGTGTGCCGATCTAAATCCAATAGAATGCCAACCGTGCTACCGTTCGCAATGCCACCCTCAACGCGACGCTCATGCATCGAATTGTGCTGGAACCATGAACGCTTGTGATCGATGTACATGGCAAATCCTTTGTCATCTTTGCCTG